ACCAAGTCGGATCTAGTACTGTCCAATTATCTTCTCAACGACATTTGGGGAAAGAAATATCTTTTTCCAAAATGCCCTTAATAATTAAAAAAACTTGAACTATATTTTCTTTACCTCAAGTCTCCTCATTTATTTGGAAAAGCCAATATGGCCAGCACTTTGCTCCTTAATTGGGTCGGCCCGGTGCATATGCGGATTATTCTGAGTATGATACGAGCTTAAATGTGACTCCTATAGTTAGGACCTGCTCAAGACGATCATGGTTTGACAAAAAAAAAGTCTCTTCATTTATTGAGAAGACTTGAGGTTCCATTCTACTCCCCATTCGATGGGCAATTTATATCGTGCACCAAGGCGCACAATATGTGCGCCCTGGTGCAAAACGACATCGTTTTGTATTTTTTTTTTTTTTTTTGGAAATTTCGCTTTCTGTGTCTGTTGTTAACTTGTTAAAAAAATCTAATGTTTCAAAAATATACATAATTGTATAATAGAATGTACATAATTGTATAACAGAATGTACATAATTATATAACAGAATGTACATAATTGTATAACATAATACACATACTCTTGTTTGACAAGCGAAAATGTACATAATTGTATAATAGAATGTACATAATTGTATAACAGAATGTACATAAGTGTATAACATAATGCACATACTCTTGTTTGATAAGATAATACACATAATCTAACATAATACATAATACACATAAACTCTTAACATAATACACATAAACTTTTAACTCTTAAAAAAAATCTCATGTTTCGAAGGTACATAATTGTATAAAAAGTGTACATAATTGTATAACAGAATGAAATAATTGTATAACATAACATACATAATTATATAACAGAATACGAATTTTCAAAAAATATAACAGAATACACATACACTATGTCGTGTCAACTTCCCACACAACTTAATAAAATGATGTTGTTTTGGGCAGAGCGGGACGCACAATACAGTGTGCATCCTGGTACACGATATAACGATTGTATTTGATGTGACCGCTCAGTATTCTCCCACTGTGGGATAAAACATAAATACAAAGGGGAGCCAATTTCACTTCCCTTTGTATTGTAATGTATCATTTTTTTTTAAATAATAATAATAATAATATTTTTCTTTGTTGTGTGGTGTAAACACATCAACCGCTAATATCAAACATTTCTTTATAATTTTTTTTAATAAATTATTAATATAATTCGCTAGTCAAATTCGCTCAATTAAGTGTTAACCATTACAGGGCGTTTGGTTGGAGGAGGGGAATTACGTGGGAAAGTAATTGCAATTCCATGAGAGATGAATTACTGGGAATAAGTGGGAATTTAAATTTCAGTGTTTGGTTGACAGGAATAGAATTACTGGGAATTTTAATTCCAATGTTTGGTATACATGAGAATTGAAAGGGAATAAGTAGTATAAAGTCCAAAATGCCCATTGTTGTTGTGGTATTAATTTTATATTAAAAAAAGGGAGGAATAATTTTGTCTCATCACTAGCTTTTTTTTCTTTCTAAAATCCCAGGAATTAAAATACTGGGGGGACATGGGATTTTAATTCCATGAAAATGAAGGAATTGCAATTCCATGGAATTGCAATTCTTTCCAACCAAATTAAGGAATTTTATGACCTTTGGAATTAGTTGAGAATTAAGTGGGAAGAGAATTTAAATTCCCTCCAACCAAACGTCCTGCTAATTGTCAAACAAAATCAATATATTTTTTATGTTAATAAGTCATTATGACTCTAGACCAATTAGGCAATAATGTAAAACTAATATGGAACAATTAATGATGATATTTGTGTTTAGAAACGACATATAAGTTATACAATAAGCTTGCGAAATATTGGTGTGTTCATTAGTTTGAACATTTTTTCAAATTTCAGGGAATTGGAAGATTAAAAGATATGTTTACATGAAGGATGAAAAACTAACAAATGGAAATAATATTTTCTTAATTTTTAATTATGTAAAGAAAGTTGGAAGGTTTTAACCATTGTTTCCAAATTTTTCAATTCATAAGTTTTACTTTTATATCAAGCATGTGTGTGCTCCGATGTGATGAGTTGTCACAATAAGAAGCATGATGAGGCTTGTATTTTGAACACCTGTTTCAATGAAGATATTCTAAGTTTACACGTTATGAGAAGTAGGGATGGCAATGAGTATGTGTCAAGCTAAGGATGACTAATTGACTATATTCACTACTTGACTTATATTTACGGCTTATTTGATTTGTGAAAAATATTTTAAGAAAAATGAAATTAAAAAATTTTATTAAAAAAGAAATTATTGAGAAGATTAATTATATTATTTAGTTGGTGAAAATAAATTATTTGAAATATTAATTTTATTGTTTGGTTCGATTTGAAGTTGTAATGACTAATGAATAATGAATATTAATACCAATATACAATCATATATTAAAATGCATCTTATTAGAGTTTAAATTTACTCATATAAAATTTAAAATTTACATTTTTTCTAATTTCTAAATATAATTTTCTTAGTTATTATTCAAAATAGTTAAATAGGTGATCACATGATTAAACCTCGGTGAAGAAGATATTGATTTTTTGGATTGAAAGGAGATTGAAAATGTATAAAACATATATTATTATCTTGTAAGAATCATCATTGTTTATATATATATATATATATATATATATATATATATAATTCTCTTAGTTATTGTTCAAATTATAATATATATGAAATACAATTAGGAAAAATTGATTTAAATATGTAAATTTTACCTATAAATAAATATATCAAAATATGTATATTATTGAGATTATATTAAGCATACAAAAATTAATTTTAATTTTGTATGCTATAAAAATAGATACTTAACCAAATATATGGAAATTTAATTGTATTATTATATTATACATTTTCACATATTTACATTTTATTTTGGCCTTGTTTGGTAAAATGGCTGTTAGCTGATAACTGTTAACTGTTAGCTGATTGTGTTAATTAGAGGGTATAAATAGTTGATAACATTAGCTGATTGTAGAAAAGTGTTTGGTAAATTAGCTGTTAGTTGATAGCTATTTGGTATAATTTCTTCTCTCAAAAAGCTAATTGAAAAAGTTGCTTGGAGTAGCTTTTTGAATTTTAGCCTTTTGAAGTTGCAAAAAGCTAATTAGCCAAACATTTATATTGATATTTTAACTAAATCAAATAATTAATAGTGATCAAATAAGTCAAAATTGACATATAGACCAATTTTTTTACCAAACAGGTTTATACATTTTTATTTGAAGTTCATAATAGTCAGGGACGGAGCCAGGACGGAACAGTGCGGGGGGCCAAATAAATGTGGTTTAAACAAATGTGTGATTGGCGTGATGAATTTTGGCACTAAAACAATAGTCGTGGATGAAAATTGGTACTAAAGTAATAGTTGTGGATGAAAATTGGTAGGAATTAAACATGTGGACTAAAACTGTCATTTTGCTAATACTCGTGGGACCAAAATTGGTATTTGCTCTATTTTTTAAGAATTGGACAGGAAGTATTTTTTTGAAAGTTACTGGCTCTATTACATTGTAGTATCTGTTCATATACTCTCAACCAACTGAAACACAAAGAACCAATAACGCCTCCACTGAGGCTCGAACTCATAATCTTCCAAATGCAAAAATTTCAGGATTTTATTTTTATATATAGTATAGATAGTATAGATGTGCAACAGGAATTGTATTACACTATTTTATAATTTTAGAATAGAATTTTTACCCAGAATTATTGTACGAATGGGAAAGTAGAAATCAATATATTTTATTGGGAAGAGAGATTTTTTAGGAATTGGGCGGAAAGTTAAAATATCAGGATTTTATTTTTATATATAGTATAGATAGTATAGATGTGCAAAGGGAATTGGATTACACTATTTTATAATTTTAGAATAGAATTTTTACCCAGAATTATTGTACGAATGGGAAAGTAGAAATCAATATATTTTATTGGGAAGAGAAATTTTTTAAGAATTGGGCGGGAAGTTAAAATTTCAGAATTTTATTTATATATATAGTATAGATGCACAAAGGGAATTGTATTACACTATTTTATAATTTTAGAATAGAATTTTTACCTAGAATTATTGTACGAATGGGAAAGTAGAAATCAATATATTTTATTGGGAAGAAAGATTTTTTAAGAATTGGGCGGAAAGTTAAAATTTCAGGATTTTGTTTATATATATAGTATAGATGTACAAAGGGAATTATATTACACTATTTTATAATTTTAGAATAGAATTTTTACACAGAATTATTGTACAAATGGGAAAGTAGAAATCAATATATTTTATTAGGAAGAGAGATTTTTTAGGAATTAGGCGGAAAGTTAAAATTTCAAGATTTTGTTTTTATATATAGTATAGATGTACAAAGGAAATTGTATTACACTATTTTATAATTTTAAAATAGAATTTTTACCTAGAATTATTGTACAAATGAGAAAGTAGAAATCAATATATTTTATTGGGAAGAGAGATTTTTTAGAAATTGGGCGGGAAGTTAAAATTTCAGGATTCTGTTTTTATATATAGTATAGATTTAATCCTTGACTATAATGATTTTATCCAATTCAGTCATTGACTAGTGATTTTTCTCGATTTAATCATAAACATTTTTTTGTGCTTAATTAAGTACTGTATTTCAATCATTTTACCTAATTGAGTCTTCTGTTAAGATAGCTTAGTAATTTTCCATGTTAATACTCAATTTAGTCATCGACTATAGTGATTTTACCCAATTTAATCATTGACTAAAGTGGTTTTATCCAATTTAAATTTCGACTAGAGTGATTTTTCTCAATTTAGTCCTCGATTCTAACAATCAAAACTCATATAGGTAAAACCATCAAAGTCCAAGATTGAATTAAGCACAAAAATACATTTAGAACTAAATCAAGAAAAACCATAATTGATGACTAAATTGGGTATTAACTTTATTTTTGCCCAATTAGGGAAACAAGGGGAGTACAAAACATTCACTTGAAAGATTGCAAAATCATCACATATAAAGCCCCTTGCAAATTCCTTCAAGGCACTGACTCTTTGCTGTTAAATTATACTCCATAAGTTTACCTGTACATTGTCAATGCCAATGATTCAATAATGCTGCTATGTCAAGTTACCTCATTTGCATGAAGTTCAGTGAGAAAGCCCCAGTATTTATTTAGCATGTGATCTGTTGGCCTTACACGATCCCATTTGCCGGTACAAAATATTGCATAAGCATCAGCTGCATACCTTAGCAATCAAAACGAAATCCACAGATTAGTTCTCGAAGAGGGCGTGGGGGGGGGGGGGGGGGGGCGGTGGTTGAACATACTTGCCAACACCATGCAGCTGTGTCACATGAGTCCAACCATCTCCCAAATATTCCAGAGAGAAACGCTTGATCATAACTGCCCTCTTCTTATGCAAGCCTAAAGGTTGTATCACTTTCTCAATATCCTCGGCAGCAATTTCTGTAGCAGTTTTTGCGTGTGGACACAACGTGAATAGAGTCGATATGACTCTCCCAGCCTACATCAACTTTAATAGTATCAGCCATTGCTTGCACTCACATCCGGCCATCATGTATATACAAACAAGGTTAAGTCCGAATAAGAACTCTCTGGTGTGTTCATCATGTGAAATCAGTGTCAAAGCAATTTATGTAACAGATAAAAACTTGAAAATCCACCAGCATCTACACAATAAATATATGATAAGCATGGTTGAAAAAATCGCCAGGCGCTCCTCGGGCACCTAGGCGCCCATATATATTTTTTTAAAGACTTATAATTATAAACTATTTAATGCTTTAATAATTAATACTAAAACATTAAATATTAACCTAAAAAACATCTAGGGTTTGAACAATTTAAAGTTATTTCGCTAACAACGACGTCATTTTAAGTGAAATAACCCATTTAAAAAACAAAAAAATCGAACAATAGCTAATCGACCAACTAGGCGACCTAGGCAGGCAGCGCATAGGCGGCCTAGTCGGCTGGCCGCCTAGAGGCTAAACCACCATTAGGCGGTCAGCCGGCGCCTAGGCGCGATTTTTACAACACTGATGATAAGTGGATTAAATGCTTGTTAATTACATGTATAGGGATATTGTCAAGTCAATCACAATGTAAAGGCAAAGCATGTTTGAAGAAATGAGATGAAAATACACATCCCGCCTGATAACATCTAGTAATAGCAAATGTCCTTGCAGTGAGACAGCCACTGATCATTAAATCAGAGATGCAGCTAAAATTATGTCCACTTTCTGTTATAGCGCGGAAACACCAACAGTTACTAGTTAAATATTCTGTAAATTTTTTTCTACAAAAAGTTCCACTTTCTCACATATTATTGACATCAATTTAATACTAGTTCAATATTCCAGCATGACCACACTTACTGTGTAACCAGCAACTAGATTTTAAGATTTTTAATCTAATTTTCAATTTTAAAAAATAGTAGTACACTTTTTACTATATAAGAACAGTAAAATCACTCAGTTCAACCCTCTCCATATTCTAACTCACTTCCCTTCCACCTAACCTCTCTCTCTCTCTCTCTCTCTCTCTCTCTAACACACACACACAAACATGAGGGGTGCCATTGCATACAAGATAAGTTGAATAATGGCTTCATTTATATTGCTTTTCTTAAGTCTGAGAATCACTTGGGTGATGCACTTCTGGCCTTGTTAGTGTCTTAAGTCTGATACCATTGCACATAAGATGGGTATAAGAGACATCTATGGCCCATCTTGAGGAGTATTGGAGATTGTTGTGATATTACTCTCATATGATCTTGGAGAATATTCTTGCAAACATTCTCTTTTCTATTAAATAGCGTAGCCTAGTGTTGGAAATCGAGATACACACCCATTCTCTCCATTCTCTTTTTCCTTTATTCTTAACAAGAAATACAAACTTAAAGTTTGCACAATGACTTGCAAAAAGAAAGTTGAAAGATGACATCAAATACAAGATTATGGACCATTTAAAAAAATGTTTTAGCTTGAGTCAACTAAGTATCACAACTAAAAGCAAAATACAAAGATAAACATGCAGCAGAAAGCATCCGCTTAAAGAAGGTTAACACCTCAAGCAAATTTCAACAACAAAATGCTGTTTTCCATTGTTGGCCAACTGAGAATATCATGCAGAGAGTCTTCACAGTTCCCACAATATACTATCCAGGCTACATTTTTATTTTTGTGGTAAGTAATAAAGCAGATTCGTTGACTCATTCACTAGATATCTCTATAAGAATTCTTTTGGGAGCACCTATAATGATGGTAAGTTACAAGAACAGAAAATAAAGGTGTTCAAGTTAAAATCACAACTTCTCTTTTAGACAGAAGTTCAAATGGAAAATCTTTTCAAGCAGTGAAAAGAATAGGAGGATATATAGCAATTTACCTGCAAACCAGTTGTGCGATTAAGAAGCATGCAAATCACCAGCACCCTCCATGGATCATGGACATGATCTTCTTGAAGGAGATTATAAGGCGAACGAGGCGGTATCCAATTGTTATCTGGCATCCTCCTTAGATAAGCTTCATCTCGCTTCTGAGCAGCAGAGAGAACAGGTTTGATTAACACTGTAGTTTTAGTTTTTGCAGGGCCTTTTTTAGGCTTTGTTGAATCTGTTTTCCCCTCCAAGGAATCAGTAACTCCATTGTCCTGTTCTTGCTTTAAATTGTTAAAGTAGGGAGAAAGTTTTTTTGTGGGGAGGCGCTTCTTTGAAGATTTTTTAGTTTTAATTTTGATATGCCGACCTCCATTTTCTACAACTTCCCCAGCCTGTGAATTCACAAAATAAGGAGAAACAACTTTAACATTTTTGCGTATTTTTCTCTTAATCCTCTTATCCCCAGACAAAGCAGCTTGACCATCAGCATAGAAGGATCCTTCTTGGCAACGAACAAATGAATGTGTCACATCTTTTACGAGTAAAGCAGGTTTTGAAACCTCACCCAACTTGTCATTTTGATCTTCATTGTTGATCCCCTGAGAGGAATTCTCACTATTTTCAGCCCCATGTTTTGACTTCATAAAGCTTCCACCTTTATATGCAAATTGAAAGAAAAAATCATCAATGTTCTGACCCACAGCTCTAGCCTCAAAATCAACAGGCACAGAAGTAACATTTCCTACAGCTGAAACACCATGTTCTTCATCTGCTCTCACATGATTCCCTATCCCCTCATCCAACTCAACCTTAGGAGAATGGAAATTGACACACGTTCCACTGAGCTTCTTTTCACTCTCATTATGTACTATATCTCTCTCAGAATCACAAATACTAGCACCAATATTTGTTGCAACCATATAATCTTCTTCTCCAATTAGTTTATTGTCAATGTCATTACAATCACTCCTTTCTTCTAGCCTTGCATGTACACTTTTCCTCCTTTTCATTTTCTTTCCATCATCCACCTCAGTCACTTGAAAAGAAACCACAGGTTTATTGCCTCTAATTTCATTACAGTCAACTGCTTTCCTATCATAATAGAAAGCTTGATTCACTGCAACTTGAGTTTGGTTGTCCTTAGGGCTTTGTTCTCGTTTCTTTTCCTTTCCCTCTTCTCCACCCTCTATGGATTTCATATTATCAGGAAACCCCTTCTCTAAACATGGAGAGGAACTAACATTGACTAGTGCAACACTCTCCCTCCTCCTTGAGCTTCTTTTTGACTTCTTTTCCTTTTGCTTTTTAACCGTTACAACAGATTCACTTTCCTTGTCATCATCAATACTACCTTTAAGTGATTGTTCAAAATACAGAGAAGCAACTCTCTCCACAGACCCTTCGACAGCCCTGCCACAATTTATCTCCTCCCTTGTTCTTTTTTCCCTCTTTTTTGTGCATTGTTCTTTTTGCTCTTGATCACTAAAAAACTCAGTAACTTTGCTTTTTACTTTGCACTCCTTCATATTCCCTTCATCAGAATCTGAAGGATGTAACGATTCCAGGAAATCATTTTCATCTTCAGTCTCATTTTTTCCCTTCAAAGAGTTCCCAATTTTGCATTGAGAGAAAAAGTCAGCATTGTTCTGAACCACAGAACTAACATCTTCATCAACTGAAAGACCATGCAGTTGTTTTGCCTCCATACTATTGTTGACCCCTGCTTCCAATTCCATGTCCCTTTCAGCTGTCTCCTTTTCACCTTTGTTTTGGACTGGGTCACTATTACAATCAGAATTATTAGCATTAGTATTTGGAGCAAGAGAATTGTGTTTAACTCCAATTTTCACATTGTCAACACCATAACACTCACTCATTTTTGTTTCACACGCATGTTTCTGTTCCTTAACCGGTTTCCCCCTCTCTTTTTTGCCTACACTATTCACCTCACTGACTTGCATAGAGACCAAAGGCTCGATGCCACTTATTTCATCAAAGCTAACAGCTTTTTCAAAATACGGAGACTGAATTGGCACTTCCTTCATTGCTGTTCGTTTATGCTTCTTTTTCTTCCCCACTTCCCCATTATCCTTGGGCTTAACATCAAGAATTCTAACTTCTTTGACAGGTCCGTTTCCTCTATCTTCCCGTTCAACCTGTTTCAATGGCACAACAAAGACATTCTCTGTGTTCTCCTGTACATCATTCTCAAAATATGGAGAACAAGTAACCTCCGTGACTTGTGCCTCGCCCTCTTTCTTCTTTGAGCTTCTTCTCCTCTTACACTCTTTCCCCACTCTCACATTAACAACATATTTTCTATCCATGTCTTCATCAACATCCCCCTTGAGAGATTTATTGAAATTTGGAGACACGACAACGCTCTTCACTTTATCTACAATATCAATGCCACAACATTTCTCCTTCCTAGAGCTTCTTTTACACTTATGCTCCCTCCCCTCCCTGACATTTGTAACAGATCCACTACCCATATCTTCATTAATATTACCCTTGAGAGGCTTCTTGAAATATGGAGAAACAACAACATTCTTCACATTCTCTATGATATCTGTGTCACAAGTTTTCTTCTTCTCCTTTCTTGAGCTTCTTTTCCTCTTATGCTCCTTTCCCTCTCTAACATCTGCAACAGTTTCGCTACCCATATCTTCATTAATATTCCCCTTGATAGGTTTCTCGAAATAGGGAGAAACAACAACGTTCTTCACTTTCTCATTCACATGTGTCTCACAAATTTTCACCTCCTCCTCCTCTGAGCTTCTTTTCCTCTTACGCTTCTTCCCCACTCTAACATTTGCAACAGATTCCAAACCCATGTCTTCATTAATATTACCCTGGAGATATTTCTCGAAATACGGAGAAACAACAACGTTGTTCTTCACTGTCTCTTTAAGAGCTGTGTAACAATTTTTCTCCTCCTTCTTCTTCCTTGAGCTTCTTTTCCTCCCATGCCCCTTCCCCTCTCTGACTTTAACAACGGATTCGCTACCCACGTCTTGATCAATATTACCCCTTAGAGATTTCTCGAAATTCGTAGCCCTGACAACTGCGTCAGAATTCTTATATTTTCTCTTACTTGTTTTAACAGATTGATCGCTGATTAAACCTTGGCCAACAAAATCAACAGCGGCTTTCTCAAAGTAGGGAGACGAAATTGGTGTTACCTGGGTGTTCATGGGGTTTTATCTCAGTCTGTTGAAGAATCATATCCTCGGCTCTTCATATTCTTCTATGGATTTCGGAGATTTTGGTTCAGTCGCATTTGCCACAGAATTTGATGCTTGTTTCTCTAGTTATCGCCGCTGGAGAGGGCGAGATGACTGGGTAACAGAATGGCCAAGCGGCTGTTGAGTTTCTAGTCTTGATCCCGGGTTTATAGTTGGAGTGAAATGATACTTTGATTGTGTTAAAATAAAATTACAATATATAAAATGAAACTGAATAACATGTTCCACATATTGAGTATATATTATCAAATGAAACTGTAATTATATAAATTTAATTAATAATTAAATACTGAAAATTCTGATTTTCTCTACTCTGGCATCTAGGGTTTCTCTCAAGTTTCTACCCTGATTTCTAGGGTTTCAACGCACAATCGATCGGTTCACGTCTAGATTACAGCTTACGTTAATCTGGTAGCTTTGTTTTTCGCTGCATGCTCGCATGGATATACAACATATTGTCGACGGCGCAGCCGACATCACGCTGGAGGAGGAGGATCTCGGTGTCCGTTTCGAAGATGAGCCAACTGGTGGTATAGACCACACTTCGGTGCAACAAACCTGGTCCGTTGTCGGCAGGCTTTTAACCGATCGCAACTTCAAGTCCGAGATGATGAAACGCGTACTTGTCTCTGCATGGCGCCCCTTGATGGGCATTGAGGTGGCTGACGTTCATCCTAACCTCTTTCTGTTTACTTTCTTCGATGAAGCGGATAGACGGCGAGTGTTGGAAGAGGGTCCCTGGGCGTACGAGAATGCTACGTTAATCTGTCAATCGCTAGTTGGGGATGAACATCCTACTCAGGTGATTCTAAACTCTGTTGATTTATGGGTTCAGGTGTTCGATTTGCCGATTGGGTATCGTACGGAGAAGGTTTTGGAGAAGGTTGGGGACTTTGTTGGTGTTTACCTGCGGGTAGACGACCGAAATTTCACTAGGCCATGGGCTACGTTCTATAGGGTGAGAGTGAGGCATGATGTCGCTATGCCGCTAAAACAGCGCATGAAGATGATCCCCCGGGATGGTTCTTGGGCATGGGTGAATTTTAAATACGAACGCTTGCATATGTTTTGTTATTTTTGTGGTAAATTGGGCCATACGGATAAGTTTTGTATTGAGGCGAGACGCTCTCCTTTGAAACCTGAGCAGTACTTATACGGCCCGGCTTTGAAGGCGGGTGCGACAAGTCCGGCTAAGGCATTGGGGGAAAAGTGGTTTCATCTAGGGCAGGAGCGGCGGAAGGAGATTGGTTTTGGAGGGGCACCATTTGTTGGCCGGCCGGCTGTTGGGACGGATGGGGTAGTTGGGGCTGTCTCGGCAGTAGGAGCGGATGGGGCGGGTGGCAGTGGGGCTGCTCGTAGTGTGGCGGGAAATGGGATGAGGGGGTTGGCGGATGGTGGTTCGGCGAGTGGGGTGGGGGAGGAGATGGGTGTTCGGGTGGATCCGAAACGTCGGAGGGGTGTGGATGGTGGTGTGGTGGAGGTTGTTAGCGATATGCAATTGGATACAAATCCTTCTCGTTTGGTGGGACCTGGGGACCAGGCCCACCTCTCTCAATGAGTACCCTATTCTGGAACTGCCGTGGCTTGGGCAATCCACGGACGGTTCGTGAAATTGAGGACCTTGTGTCCAAAAGGAAGCCGGATTTTGTGTTCTTGATGGAGACGATGGTGGATGGGACTCATGCTGAGAGACTCCGTGTAAAGTTGGGGTTTGAGGGATGCTTTAAGGTGGATAGTGATGGCCGGAGAGGTGGTTTGTGTTTTTTATGGGCAAACAACAACTATGCTAGCCTAATCAAATACTCGGATAACCATATTGATCTTGTGGTGTCACTCCCGGGGAAGCCGCAATGGCGTCTCACCTGTTACTATGGATTTGCACAGAGAAGTAGAAGGAGGGAATCATGGGATTTCTTAAGATCACTTAAGGGGATTTCTGACTTACCCTGGGTGGTCTTGGGTGATTTTAATGATTTGTTGGCTCAGTCGGAGAAGAGGGGAAGATTACCGCACCCGAGTGGCTTGATTGAGGGTTTCAATGAGGCTCTAGAGGAATGTGGATTGTTGTCTCTTCCTATGATTGGGTATCCGTTTACGTGGGAAAGGGGTAAGGGTACAGAGGAGTGGGTAGAGGAGCGGTTGGACAGGGTGGTGGCATGTATGGACTGGCTGGGCTCTTATGATAGGGCGAAACTGTACAATATCCGTACTGATTCGTCTGATCATTCGGCTCTCTTTCTGGATATTTATGGATTGACTCCTACTACTAGGTCTCGTGGTTTCCGTTTTGAGAATGCATGGTTTATGGATGAGGGGTGCAGGGGTGTGGTAGAGCGAGAATGGGCTGCTTCTCATGGTTTTAATCTGCAGGCTAGATTTGACTTCTGTGGAAGGGGCCTGAAATCGTGGGGTGGTGACCAACATCATAAGTATGGCAAGCGAATTGGTGAGATAAGGAAGGATATGGAGAAGTTACGGGGTAGGCGTGATCAAGCTTCATTGGCTCTGTTTGCGCAGTTGGATAATAGCTTAAACCTTGTTTTGACCCAGGAGGAGGCTTTCTGGAGGCAGCGTGCTAAGCAGCATTGGCTTCAGGGGGCAGATCGGAATACCAAGTTTTTTCATAAATATGCATCCCACAGGAGGAAGAAGAATGTTATTATGAAACTGAAGGATGATAATGGGGACTGGAAAGAGGGTAACGAGCTGGAGTCGCTGGTCTCTGATTATTATACGCAGATTTTCACATCTGGAGGGTCTCCTGGGCTTTTCACTGTTGATACTTTGCAGCCGCGTGTGACCGAGGACCAGAATTCACATCTTTTGAGGCCGTTTGACCCAGAGGAGGTACGTGAAGCTTTGTTCTCCATGGGTAAGGATAAATCCCCCGGCCCAGACGACATGAACCCTGGCTTCTATCAGGCTTTTTGGGATATTATTGGTAAGGATGTTACTTCCTTTGTGCTTAATTGTCTTGAACAGTCGTCTTTCCCTATTTGTTTGAATGATGCGAGTATTGTTTTGATTCCTAAAAAAAATGCCCCTGAGCGTGTGTCTGACTTACGCCCGATTGCTTTATGCAATGTTTTGTATAAAGTAATGGCAAAGATGGTGGCAAATCGAATGAAACCTTTACTAGAAGGTATTATCTAGGAATCACAGAGTGCCTTTCTTCCGGGTAGGTTGATCTCGGACAATATTCTAATTGCCTCTGAGGTTGGACACTACTTGAGAAGGAAACAACTGGGACAGGTAGGATGGGCTGCCTTGAAGCTTGATATAGCTAAGGCGTATGATAGAATGTAGTGGCCATTTGTGAGAGACATGTTGTTACGACTGGGGTTTGATGCAAAGTGGGTGCAATTGATTATGTTGTGTGTTGAAACGGTTCGGTACAGAATGCTAGTGAATGGAAAGCCTACGGGAGAGATTGTACCATCGAGAGGGTTACGTCAGGGGGACCCCTTATCTCCGTACTTATTTATCATTTGTGCAGAAGGATTATCTTTGCTTTTGCAGGATTCTCAGGCTAAGGGGCTTATTCATGGTTGTAGGGTGGCTCGGGGGGCACCACCCATCTCACACTTGTTTTTTGCAGATGATAGTCTGCTCTTCTTTAAGGCCAATCTGCAGGAAACATTGGAGGTCAAGAGGTGTCTCAGTGTTTATGAGTCCTACTCTGGTCAGGCTGTCAACTACCACAAGTCAAATGTATCTTTCAGTCGCAATACCCATGCTGAGATGCGTGAACTTGTATCCGGGGCCTTAGCTGTTGATCAGGCGGAAGATTTTGGGAAGTATCTGGGATTACCTTCTGTGGTGGGCAAGAATAGGAGGGCGGTTTTTGCTTATGTTGAGCAAAAGCTGAGGCAGAGGTTTGGATCCTGGAATAAGAGATTGCTATCTAAAGCGGGTAAGGAGGTTCTTCTAAAGAGTGTGGCACAAGCCATGCCAACATATACAATGAATATTTTCCTTCTCCCATCCTCTTTGTGTGTTTCCCTGGAAAGACTAATGAACAGGTATTGGTGGGGGCGGACTGGTGATGAACTTGGCATTCACTGGCTAGCTTGGGATAAAATGTGCAAACCAAAGAAGTTTGGAGGAATGGGGTTCAAGCGATTACATGAGTTTAATTTGGCTTTACTGGGTAAGCAAGGTTGGCGGCTACTAACCAATCCCTGTTCTTTGATGTCTCGTGTTTTTAAGGCACGGTATTTCCCGACAACGTCTTTTTATGAGGCTGTGATTGGGGGAAATCCAAGTTATGTGTAGAGGAGCATTATGGCCAGTCAGGATTTGCTAAAATCCGGGTGTATGCGCAGGATTGGTAATGGTAGATCGACTAAGGTATGGACAATTCCCTGGCTACCGGATGCCCATAACCCATATGTGGAATCTGATCAGGTTTTTGCTAATCAGTCTTTGCTAGTCTCGGACTTGATAGATGACAATACGGGGAGGTGGAATGTTGATCTCTTGCACCAGGGGTTTAACCCACGGGATGTGATGTTAATTTCTCAGCTACCTGTAAATTTGGATTATGATGATATGTGGTATTGGGAAGGGGATTTAAAGGGATGTTACTCGGTCAAGAATGGTTATCATAGGTTGAGTTTTATAAGCTCACAAGTCTCTCCTGTATGGCAAAATATCTGGAGTTTACAGGTTCCCCCCAAGTGGAGAGTGTTTTTGTGGCGAGCCCTCTTGAATATTCTGCCCTCGCTTGATAATTTGATAATTAGGAGGGTGGATCTATTGAATATTTGTCCATCGTGTGGCCTTTATGAAGAATGTCTTTTGCATATATTTTGTTCGTGCCCGTTTGCTGTCACTGTTTGGCATATGTCTCAGATTCAAATCCCCTCTTTTGCCAACAGGAGTTTCTTGCAGTGGACTGAAGAATGGCTCGGTGGTGCGTCTCAGTTTGGCGCAGATGCCCAAGGCCGTATCTGCGGTATTCTTCATGCGATTTGGACAGCGAGAAATACGGCGGTGTGGGATGGGTGCATGCCGACTCCGTATTCCCTCCTTTGGCGATTCTCGGCTGCGTGGACTGCATGGACCGACTGTGAGCGACAGCGTCAACAAGCCTGCTGCGGAAACACTATGCTGCAACCGTCACCTTCTACTGCGACATCTCAGGTTCCTACGCCGTATCAATGCTACGTTGATGCCGGTTTCCACGGAACTAATCATGCGGCTGCATTTGGTTTTATTGTATTGGATAACGACTCCTCCTATGTGGTGGCAGCCAACGGCCCTTTATCGTGTCCGCATGATCCCCCTTTAGCGGAGGCTATGGCGCTACGCGAGGCTCTCTCTTGGTTGAAGGACAACGGGTATTCAGGTGGAAGACTTTACACGGATTCATCGGTTTTGGTCTCAGGATTGAAGTGTGCCAGTTCGTTTCGTAATTATTTTGGATTCATTTTATTGTCTTGCAATCGTTTAATTAATGCTATGCCTGGAACACTAGTTAGTTTTGTGAATAGGGAGGCCAATCATGTGGCTCATTCCTTATCTAAACACATATCTGCAGTAGCTGGCCGTTCTGTTTGGAGGGATGTACCTCCTGCTTTTATTCAGCCCTTGGTGGCTAATATAATCTGATTCTTTTGGCTTTCAAAAAAAAAAAAAAAGAAACTGTAATTATATCAAAATAATATTTTAATTGTGTTGTAATAAAATTATCGTGTACATAAAATAAAATGGAATAATAATTTCACATATTTGAGTGTATATTATCTAATGAAACTGTAGTTGAATTAGAATTATACTTTAATAGTGTTGTAATAAGACTGTAGTGTGTATAAAAAGAAATTCAATAACATGTTTCACATATTGAGTATATAATGTCAAATTAAATTGTAGTTAAAATAAAATGATACTTTAGTTGTGACAAAATGAAACTATAATATATATATATATATATATATATATATATATATATATATATATATATATATATATATATATATATATAAAGTGAAACTGAATAAATCATACAAACAAAAGTAATTAGACGGAACGGGTGTCGTTTATTTTAATTAAAAGACACGGCACCATTTTAGACCATGATCCACAGTAAAATTTGCCAAGAATGTACAACGTGGCGCATGGACCACCACACATTAACATGGCTGGACTTTATGGAGTGTTTGGTTCACTGTAATTTAGTTGTAGTTAAATTGAAATTCAATGGAGGCTTCAATTACATTCTTTGGTTGGAGGGAATTGCAATTCATGAGGTACCCCATGAATTGCAATTCATTATTATTATTATTATTATTATTATTATTATTATTATTATTATTATTACTATTATTACTACTATTATTACTATTATTACTATTATTATTACTATTATTACTATTATTATTATTATTATTATTATTATTATTATTATTATTATTACTATTATTATTACTATTACTATTACTATTACTATTACTATTACTATTACTATTATTATTACTATTATTATTATTATTATTATTATTATTACACAAGGGTATTTTAGTCTTTATACCACTTCTTTCCTTCTCAATTTCAGTAATTCTATTTCTCCATACAAAACAACGTAATTTGAATTCTTACTTTATTCCCACCTTATTCTTTTCCCACCAAATTACAATTTCTTCCCCCTAATTCCTTTCTTCCAACCAATTGCCATGTTAGAGCATTCCTAATACTCAATAGTATTACTGTATGAATTTTTTTGTGTGATTTTTAATGAGTGAATGAGAGAGATGGTTTGGGTGCTTGCAAAAGTAGAGTTTTTGTAAATTTCATTACGTATTTGATTGTGTTAATTCTCACGTGAGCGGTGAATAAAATAATATAAGACCAATTAAAGCAAGTAAAACACTTTTATTGATCAAGGTGAAGTTCCTAAGTACAATCTACAATGGCTATTTCGAGGGCCGACTGACTGCGGTCGGGATGCTCTGAGAATAGCCTATCGATCGTCCAAAAGTCCTTCACACTGTTGCTATTGCGGGTATTTATAGCCGCGGGGCCAGAGACATAAATTCGGCCGTTCGGCATGCCACCCATGTAGCAACCACGTGTCCTCCTCCCCGAAGCCCTGCCTGTCAACGCGTAGTGCTGCCACGCGTCTCTTCTTGACTCTCTTGCCTAAGGCTATCGATCGGGGTTGAAGGACGCCGGTCGGGCAACGCCCGATCTAGAACCGACCGGGTTCTTCTAAGGAAATCGGACCTGCAACCTGCACAAATAAGAACAGAAGACGGAAGCATGTCGGTCGGGGTACTCCTTCCAAAAGTCCCCCAGCCCAGGCCTTTTTGACCGCCAGCGAAAAAATGGGACGGGATGAAGAAGTCCAAACGTCCGCCGCCGAACCGACCGGACAGCTGTCGTTCCGTGCGCCACGTGTCGACCTCTGCACGCCTCTGCGAGCGCAACGGTCGCCTCGGAGTCTGGAACGGTCACGTCAGGCAAGTGGATCGTTTCCCGCCTAAATGCTCTCCTATAAATAGGCCTTCCTAGAGTTCATTTGAACTTTTACCAAGCATCCTGAGTCGATCGGACATCCAAAGCATCCCAAGTGAGCTACTCAGAACAGCGATCGGCACAACCAACATCCAGCTTTTCCTCCTAAGCATCTTCACTCGGTAAGTTCTCTACTTCCCAGCCTTTTAATTTTTTGCTTTACATTTTTGGTTATAGCCAAATATAGGCCTTAGCTGACCTCGACCCGGATACCCCGAGCCCTAACATAATCCCGACCGGCCTTTAGGTAGACCTAATGTCGGATTCAGATAGTCAGAACGCTTCGGTCGCAGATTACGACGATGCGGTCGAGCAAATAAGCGAAGAGATAGATATCGAAGCGTCTTCGCCGGAGGTCATCAACGACCGCGCAGAATCCCCGAGCAACAAAAGTCTTTGAGCTCGGAGGGGTCAACCAGCTCGAGCAGCATGAGCGGCCAGACGACGACGAGCGAACAAGGTTCCCCGTCGGGCAGCGCTCGGGAAACGCCGACTCGGATAATTGGGGATTATCCTCAGGCCGCACCTCAAACGACTGATCGGGAAAACACACCGGAACCGGTCGAAGAGGACCTGGCCGTACCGGCCGCACCGGCTGTCGATGGATTCGCATTCCTGAACAGGGATAGCGTAGAGCAGCAGATGAGCACGCTAACGAAAGGCGAAGTGGTCAAAATCGCTACAAGGCTCAATGGTCGGGTGGAGTTCAACACAAGCCGGCAGCTCGGGAATATAATAGACCGCCATCAGGGAAAATGGATCGAGATGCATTTTGACTCCCTGATGGCCCCAATCAGTTTCCCCTTCCCGGCCCTCTTGACGGCATTTTTGGGCTACTACCAGGTCGTCCCGGCCCAGATCTGCCCGAATGCCCACAGGATTATTGCCTGCTTCCCCCAGATTTGCTCCCGGCACGAAGTGGCTTGCACGATGGAGCTCTTCAACTTCATCTATCAGGTGAAGGTTCTCTCGGCCAAGTATGGAGGCGGGTTCCTGATGACTCAGTCCAGGGCGGACTTATGCTCGACCGAGAGCCTGCCCGGGAACAACCTGGGGTGGAAGAATAGGATTTTCTCGGTCAAGTATGACCCTAGATCCTCCCGGTTGAGAGGGTGTGGAGCACCCACTATAGAAATCAAGTGATGCTGGTCGAGACTCAAGCTCTCCGGGACGCCGTTGCGAAGATATCGAGCGAGATTTACGAATACAGAATCTTCTGCACGGCCGAGCGGTATGAGGAAGGCCGACTGCCCCCGCCGCAATACGACCTGACTGAGAAGTACCTACCCATGCCGATGGGGGTGACAATAGCAAGGGCAACCGTTCGGGTCGAGACAGCAGATGAAGGTCTAATATTAACTGATCGTCCCCGACCCTAACTTCCCGATCACCCCATATTCCCGATCTAACTGTCTTCTTCTTTGTTTGCAGAAATGGCAGGATTCGAAGATGATGAGGCACCCCGAGCACCCATAGCTAAGATCGTGCTCGGGAAGAAAAAGGTCAAGAGCAAGCCGGCCGGGGATAAACAAGTCCCGACCGCCAGGGCAAAAGGCGCATCAACAACCGTCACCACAGCCGAAGGCTATGTGGTCGACGCCTCGGATGTCCTCGTCACCCGGGTGACTGCCCCCAAAGGCAGAGAAAAGGTGCCCGAGAAGGGGGTCACAGAGAGTGGCGCACTGAAGTGCCGGAGAGAGCAGCACAGCCTGAGCCCCCCAGTCGAGGTCCTTAAGGGCGACGCATCCGTCCTCACACGGATCGGCAATGCCGGGCCGATCAAGGAGGATTTGAGCAAACTCACCCCGACCCAAGTGGCCGAGAAAATTGGCCACGACCTGGCCGAGGTAAGGATATCTCATATTCATATAGTTATACAAGTTCCTCCGCTCGGGCTAATCCCGAGCGTCTTGCTGTTTTGCAGATCTCCTGAGCGACCCAGCTTCTTCAGCGCCGAGCGTTGTTGGCCAACGAAGCTGACGCTCTGAAAAAGGTCGCCGAGCAGCGACAAAAAGATAACACCGACCTCCGGACCGAGCTAAAGAAGGTCAAGGAGGAACGGGATGCGGCCGAGAAAGCGGTCCGAGCCACGAAGGGAGCTCAGGAGGTGGCCGAAAAGGCGGCCAAGGAGGCTCTTGGGGAAGCAAAGACGCTAAAGGCCCGACTGGCCAACCTTGGGGACTTGGCGCAGTTCCTCTTCCGGGACGAAGCGTCCGGGACAAAGTTCTTCAAAGCGGTCCGAGGAACTATGGTCGGGGAGGCGCTAATTTGGGCGTTCGGCTGCTGGGGGTTTAAATCTGGACAGCGGAAGATGCGTGAAAAGACCTAGGCCTACATGCGAGAGGCCCTTGAGGATGAAGATCTTGAGCTGGTCTTAACGACTCTTCCAGCCGAAGTTGCCGACCCCGGCCCGCCGCCGTTCGACCCCAAAGAGGATGTGGCCGAGTCGAGCGATGTCGCCGCGAAGAAGTAGCTAGGCTTTCTTCTTCATTTTGTTTAGATGAACTTGATCGGGAGCCCGGTCCCGCTTTTGTACCGGGCATCTTTGAACAACTTAATGAAATCAATTTTTGTCCATCTTATCTTGGTCGTCGTTTAATTTTTATGCGTTTAATTTTAATTTGCTTGTACACCGGTCGTGCACTAACCGACCCTTTGGCCTGATGGCCTGGTCGTTTGTTTCTCGGCCAAACGTCGAAGTCTTTGGCCTGTCCGTTCGGGATTGTCCCGACCATACGGCCTTGTCGACAATTTGAAAAAGATTTTGGCCTTGTTGCTCGGGTTGTTCCCGATTGATTGGCCTTACACTTCCATCATCCTACCCCCACATTATTGTGCGCTAAAGGCACAAGTGAGTGTAACAATGGATAGAAGTTGGACGGATCGGGAAATTTCGCTGTACTCTTGCTTTCCCAATCGGCAGCGTGACCCGAGTGTCCGCCGAAGATGAGTGTATTGGTCGGTCGATAGATTCGCCCGACTGATGGCTATTAGAGCCAATTCGTTAGATGGCTATCAGAGCCAATTAGGTAGTCGGCTATTAGAGCCGATTACCTTTGCACCCCTATCGATCAAAATCGAGAGAGAGGTGTGTGGGG